CAGCTTGGCCCGCTTCCGCTCCAGGATCTCTCGCTTCCAGGCGGGCATCGTGGCGCGGGGCGCCAGGCCCGGCCGCCCCAGGCCTGCCATGCTGCGGAGCGGCCGCCGGAGCCAGCGCGCGCCGGGAACTGCGGCCGCCGCCCGCCGCCGGCCTTCGCGCCGCGGCCACGCCCCCCTGACCGCCGCCCATTGGGAGAGGCCAGTTCAGACCCTCCCCGCGCCCAGCGGCCTCACCTATGGGAGGGAGGATGGCCAGCCGTGCTGATTGGAGAGCGCTCTCCCCGACCCCGCCTTCCCGCGGGCCTCAGTGGAGCAGCGCCCATCGCTGGAGCCGGTCCCCATTGGGGAGGCCCCCTTGGACACGCCCGCGACGCCTCACGCCGCTCCGTGGAGGCCCCCACTTCCGCCTCTGCTCCCTTGGCCCGCCGCGCCCGCGGGGCGGAGCCCGGAGGGAGTGGATCCTGGCCGGTGGGCGGGTCGGACCCTTGGGCCCCAGGTCGCGTGTGACCTTGGCCGGGTTTGGTCCCTCCTCAACGTGCCAGCACTCTGCCCGCCTGTTACCCCCGCGGAAAGCGCGGTGGAGAAAGGGCCAACCCGGGACCGGAAGGCTGTCCCGCTCCCGTGGGCAGTGTGCCGGCTGCACGCCAGCCTCTTGCCTCCCGGTCCAGGACCCTCCGGGTCCAGGGACTGCCCACCTGCGGTCCTCGGTTCCCTACGGGCCTTAACGGAGATGCCAATGCTGGAGCCCCAACCAGTGCTGAGGAACCGGTTTCTCAGGAATCCCTAGCTTTTGCCGGGCCCCAAAATCCACTCTGTGGCTCAGACAGGTGGTGGAAACTCTCTACCCGCACTTTGTCATCCAGGGCCCCGCAAAAACGGACGGGAGTGCGGAAGCTGTGAGCAGGCACAGAGGCAGGGGACTCTCTCCTCGAACACAAGCAGGCCCACAACTCTCCAACGCAGAGCCACAAAAGCCAGGGCGTGTATTCCATTCAGCCGCTGAACCGACCCCATCCCAAGGCTAACCCTGAGGGCACAGCTTCTCTGCCTACTTGCCCAGTCAGGAAGTTCACTCTCCGTGGAGGGCTGCACAGTGCCCACCACAATCTTTCAGGCTTGTGGGAGCCAAGGAGAGAAGGGGAAATTGGTGGGCACGGGCAAGGACAAATGTTACCTGCCTTTCCATCACCCGCCCCACAGTCAGCAGAGGTTCACAAATGACACTACTGAGTCCCACACCAGTAACCTGTCAGGGACCAGGCTCCAAGCGTGCCTGGGGCTCTGCAGAGACCAGGGGCGGGTTTCAACCCACGGCCCTTCGCAGCTTCTGGATCCCATGGCAGTCTGCAGCTACCACTACGTTAACGGTACTTTAATAGCCCTGTTTATTCAGCTGGAGAAAAGAAACTGGATTTCAGCCTTCCAGAGGTCAAGTGTTCCTTCAGGACTCTGCTCAAATCACCTTTCCGAAGGAAGCTAAGCCTTCTTATGCCCATCACGTCTATGCCGACAGGATTATCTAATCCTGAACTACCAGAACACAACAGGGGAGCAACAAAACACACAAACTAAGAATAACATGAAAAGGAAACCCGCTCCCAACGGTCAGCTTGTATCTGGCTTTGACACAAGTTAGGCCAACCCTGGGTAGGAGACATTTTTGTAGCTGTGGCACAAACTACACCAGCCTCCAACTCAAGCGTATCAATGGTTCAGGCCATGCAGCATCCATCCCAGGACGGGAGTCATGAAGCGGCTTCACTAGAACAAGGGTCCAAAGACATGTTCTGTAAAGGGCCATACAGTAAAAATTTTAGCCCAGTGGTTCTTACCAGGGACAGTTTTGTCCTCCAGGAGACTTGGCAATGTCTGGAGACACTTGTGGCTGTCACAAGTGAGGGGTGCTATTGGAATCTAGTGAGTGGAGGCCAGGGATGCCGCTAAACACTCTACAGTGCTCAGAACGGCTTCTCCCTCTGCACACACAGCAATGATCCGACCCAAAAGGCCAACTGTGCCAAGACTGAGAGACCCTGTACACTGCAGGCCACATTCGCTTTCTGTCACATTCTTGTTTTTACAACCCTTTGAAAATGGAAAAGTTATTCTTAGCTGATGGGCAGCACAGAAACAGACCCCAGGCCACAGACTGCTGACCCCTGCTCTGCAGATCAGCAAGGCCCACAAAGACTCTGATGTCACACAAACTGCTTGGTAGGTCCTCAACACTGGTCCACCTGGGTTGTCTTCACCCTGGCTCCCTAGGCAGGAAGCAGGGACTCTCCAAGGGAACTGGCCCCCATCCACCCAGCGCGCTCTAGCCAAGTTCCAGCACCCCCCCTTACAACCTCAGCTCTGTAACCAGCTACACCACACAGCAGGGAGTGTCTCAGCATTCATCTCATTTCACCCTCAAAAGGTCAGGCAACCACTGTCCATTTCAGCAAAACATTCTCTTATTTTATTTTTATCTCAGCAAATGTTCTCATTTGGCACCTGACTGGCATCAAACCAAAGCCCTTAGGCCAACAGGCGTGGCCTGAGACCATCTGCAAACTTCCCATGTGTAAGGTCTCAATGGCTATGCGCGTCAGAGCACCTGTTCCTCTCTCTGGTCCCTTAGGGCGGCCTAAAGGTCTCAGGTGCACTAACAGTGCCGGCCATGAGGTGGTGGAAAAGTCGTGACACTGCAATCTGCTGGGATAGGAAGACAAGCAGCGTGTTGAAAGCAAGTTCTTTTCTCAGGCGACAGATATCCAGAGAGGGTCCCGATCATGCTTATTCAACATACTCCTGTCTGCCTGGGCTGGAATGAAGAAAGAGCCATCCTCCCCAGTGCAACTGAGGAGGAGACACAAGCTGGTTTACACTTTTTAGAGCTCAAGCATCTAAGGAAGTCTTGTCTGGGGGGATGGGGCAGTAAGCTCCCAGGTCAGCACTGCTGGCCAGGGGAGATCCCGAGTCCAGCTTTGCAGCCTTTGCACAGTGGGTACTTTCCCAGGATCCATGAAAATACTCAAGAGCCCATCAGGACATTTTACTTATATGCAGTTTCCAACTGTCAGAGGAGTTCAGGACTGTCTGGCCTTCTCAGGATCCTTCTCAGGATCTCAACTCAAGATTAGCTATGCAAAGGATGAAATAAGAGAGAATACATTTTAAGAATCAAGGCTGCTCTTTTTAGCCCTGCTGAGGGAACAATTTCAGACATGACTGATAGAGAGAAAGCTGGGCACCCAGCAGGGCACAAGCTGGCTTTCAGACCCAGACTTCTCCGGTGCGGCGGAAGTGGGACCCTCAGCCTGGGGTCCCGCATTCTAGCTTATCTTCTGCGAGGCTAGTTGACCCGGCAGGCACGGATCATGAGCAGCTGCAGGAGAATGAAGACCGGAGACGTGATCAGGCCGAACCAGAGCTCCCGAGTCTGCTCCACCAGCTTCTGGCACAACAACATCTCGAAGACGAACTTCAGGCTAAGAACCGTGAGGACCCAGAAAAGGCGGAGCACGGCCAGCCGCTTCTCTCCGTCCTGGAAGAGGCGCACGGAGACGATAGTGGTGAAGTAGGTGCTGAGCCCGTCAGCGGCGAAGAAGGGCACGAACACGTTCCACCAGGAGAGGCCGGGAGCCAGGCCGTCCACACGCAGGGCCAGCAGCACGGAGAACACCAGCAGGGCCAACAGGTGCACGAAGATCTCGAAGGTAGCGAAGCCCAGCCACTGCACCAGCTCCCGGAGCGAGAAAAGCATCGCGCCGGTTGAGCGCGGGCCAGGGCCCAGCCGATGGTCCCACCCGCCAGGCTGCGCCGCCACTCCCCACGGGCCTCGCTGGCGCCTGCCGCCGTCGCCGCCGCGGCCAGCGGGAGGCAGAAAGCGACCCCGCCTGCCCCGGCCCTCGGCCCCGGTACGCAGCCGATCCCCCGTCCCCCGCCCGGGACCCAGCACTGGTCGCCCGCCGACGACCGCCTCGTTCGGACGCCATGCCCCGCCGGGCGCGGCCCAAGGGCGTCACTTCCGGCCGACGCCGGAAGTCGGAAGTCCGAGCCGATCCCGGCCGCCCGGGCCAGCGGGAGCTTCCTGCCGGTCCAGTTTCTGAATGCAGGGGACCCCGGGGCGCACCCCGATGCCGAACACGCGGCTTCTGGTGCTCTTCGGCAGCCAGACAGGCACAGCCGAAGATGTGTCGGAGAGGCTGAGCCGCGAGGCCCGGCGCAGGGAGCTCGGCTGCCGGGTGCAGGCCCTGGACTCCTACCCCGTGGTGAGGGCTCCCTGGGCCTCGGCGGGGAGACCCAGCAGGCTTGGGGTGCCGGCCCCCAGAGCCCTCGACCCTAGGGCGCCGCGTTTTGTCTGAGAGCGGGCCCTAACGTTACGGCAGATTTAGGGGCCGAGAAAGCTTGGGAACAGCGGCCAGTTTAGCACATGGAGGAGGGGGTGAGGTAGGAGGGTGGACCCTGAAAGAGAGAAGGCAGGCCAGCCGTTCGCGGGTGTTAAGTACATTTACCCCATCTCTCTGAGTGAAGGAGACGGAGCCAGGCTGCTGGGAGGATGCCTGGTCATTACAGCCCAAGGCCTTACATGTGTGTCTTTTTGTTGAGGTGAATCTGATAAATGAGCCCCTGGTGATATTTGTTTGTGCAACTACAGGCCAAGGAGAGCCCCCGGACAACATGAAGGTAAGGCTGACCTGAAGTGGCCTACTGTGCTTAGGAGCTCAGATCCCTGCCTTCGGCCCTCACCCCATTTTCTTTGCCTAGAAGGTCTTGAGAAGCACAAGAAATAGTTGCCCTACTATATCTGCTGCACGTCAGCCATGGATTTGGGAGGACATCTTTAGGTGGAGCTGGGGGCTCTGGTTGTCCATCTTAATAAACTCTTCACAGGCTCCCACTTCAGCTTTTCATGTTTTTCCAGGACTATATATAAATCTGTTATGGGTCTTATGTGTATTTCAAAACTGACCTTCAGGGAACATTCTTCGATTCTTTGACTGTCTTTTGAGCACACACTATATTCCAAACATAATCTAGTGCTCGGAATCTAGCTATGAACCCAGTAGTCACATCTCTATCCTTTCGGAGCTCAAAATATAGCAAAAGTAAAAGAGTTGAATGGGTAGTTACTATGCCAGGAAGTGCATGTTTCCAGGGAAAGTGCCAAATGTTATGGGAGCGTTAATAAGGGCTATCTAGCTCATTCTAGGAGTTCAGGGAGAGCTTTCTGGAAGAAAGGAGTATAAGCTAAGTCCTGAAGGATAAGTGGGGGCTAGCCAGGCACCAGGAAAGAGGGAGCAGCCTCTGGGATGAGCAGAAAGAAGTTCAGGTTGGTCAGGGTTGGAGAGGAGAAGGGGGCAGGCAGCCAGGTCAGATCCCAAGAAGCCCAGCAGTCACAGGGAGGCAGATGGACTTGAAACAAAGGGCCATGGAACCCATGGGATGATGTGGTCACGTTCGTATTCTAGCAAAACTAGCACTTGTCTGCAGGGGGAACAGGCTGCAGGAGAGCGGGGACAATGCGGGGGTGGGGGGAGCACAGCGCAGCCAAGAGCCTGGTGGCTTGAGCCAGGATGGTGGCAGAGTAGAGGAACGTGGACCCACTCCAGAGATGTTAAGGTAGCGTTGATCGAATGTGTAATCATATCTCAAAGATGAGAAAGAAGGTGGAATCAAGACAGGAAATTGGGCTCAGGTAGTAGGATGGATGGTGGTTCCAGGCACAGAAGCAAGAGAATAGGGAGGGTGAGGTTCCTGGACATCATCCAGGTGGAGACGCGCAGCTGGTCTGGAGCTCCGGTGAGGATCCGGGGTGGAGGTGGATGTCACAGTGACCAAAATGTGGAGGCGAGAGAAAGGGAGCACCTCCCTCCCCCAGGGCAGCTGCCCTAAGCACGAAGGGCTTGGAAGGTGGAGAAAAGCCTGTGAGGGGCAGGAAAGTGGCCCCAGCAGCAAGAAGAGGGAGCACACCATCTCCAAGGTCAAGGGCAGAGAGTTGACTGTGTCCAGAGGACGGTCTCCGGCACTCAAAGCCACAGGGAGATGAAGTAGGATGAGGCCTGAGGCATTGCTGGGGTTTATCAGCAGAGGGGCTGCTGGTGACCTCGGGGACAGGAGCTTGGAAGAACGTCTGTATGCCAAACAAGCCAAAAAAGCTTATTGCTCTGCGTGGGGCTAAGGGATTAAAAAGAGGATGCTCGTGAGATGGAGAAACGCAGGCCTATTTAAATGTTGGTGGGGGAAAGAAGGCAGAAGGCTGAAGAACTGGGTTGGAGTAGGGATGCTGTGGGAGAGCCCACACAGGAGCACGCACGGGAGAGGAGGCAAGTCTGGAAGACCAAAGGCAGGAGGATGGTGGATGCCAGAGACTCAGGGTGGGGCGGGGGAGGCGATGAAGACCTCCATCAGGTCAGCTGGCAGAGGTACGGACTTCACGTCGGAATCCAACAGCATGAAGGTGATGACAGTCACACTGGGACGAGGGTGGATAAAGGAGGGCAGAGTGCCAGGATGGACACCCTACAGAAGTGGTCAGGATGGGGCCCTCCCAACATAGCACAGACTGGAGGCTTCTTTGAGAAGCTCAGACCAGGGGCCCAGGGACCGGCTGCGCACTAAAGAGGAAGAGCCCAGCCTCCTTGTCACGGTCCTCTGAGGACTTGTCGCGGTCCTCTGAGGACACTGGCCAGGTGCGCCCTTCGAGGCAGCCAGGGCCTTGCCCTGCTGGTGACAGGCGCGAACTTGAGGTTTTCTATCAGCTTTTTTTTTTTTAATAAATTTATTTATTTACTTATTTGTTTATTTTTGGGTCGCATTGGGTCTCCGTTGCTGCGTGCAGGCTTTCTCTAGTTCTGTCGAGCGGGGGCTACTCTCCATTGCAGTGCGTGGACTTCTCATTGCGGTAGCTTCTCACTGTGGTGGCTTCTCTTGTTGCGGAGCACGGGCTCTAGGCACACGGGCTTCAGTAGTTGTGGCACACGGGCTCTAGAGCACAGGCTCAGTAGTTGTGGCGCACGGATTTCATTGCTCTGCGGCATGTGGGATCTTCCTGGACCAGGGCTTGACCCGTGTCCCCTGCATTGGCAGGCGGATTCTCAACCACTGCGCCACCAGAGAAGCCCCCTCTATCAGATCCTTAAGTACATATAGAGCAGAAAGAATGACCACGCGCTCAAGGAAAGATCCCCGTGAAGGACAGTGACCAAGAGAAGCACAAGTGGAGCGGCGGAGCGGGGGCAGAGCAGCCAGGCTTCCACCTGCGACAAGGGAGAGCTTGGCGCCCTTGGGACAGAGACGCAAAACCTGGGCAGAGCTACGGATGAGGAAACAGTGCTTAAAATGATACCAGATCAGAAGATAACACTGAGAAATCCTCCGAGAGAACATAACAAAATAGGAAACAAGAAAGATAACATCAGAATCCCGAGATTATTCCAGTAGCCTCGAAAACGGGAAGAGTGGTGAGGGGATTACCAAGGGAAGCAACAAGACTGAAGGATGAGTCTCCAGCCCGCGAGCCCACCATGTGCCCAGGAAGGGCCCGTGGGGTGTGAACAGGGCTCCCAGTGACACACGTCTCGTGGGTTTCAGCTGTTGGGCGCAGAGAGTGCCCAGGTGTCTAGCGAGGGACAGAGCAGGGCACAGAGCGACGCTGGCTTCTCGGCAGCGATCACCCGGTTGGACTAGCTCAGAGCAAAGCTTCGGGCTTTTGGGGAAGACGATTTCATCTAAAGTGTGCCCTGTCGTCTACCAGTCAGTGTGAGGGGAGGCCAGTCGTTTTCAGACATAAGACACTGGCCAGGTGCGCCCTTCGAGGCAGCCAGGGCCTTGCCCTGCTGGTGACAGGCGCGAACTTGAGGTTTTCTATCAGCTTTTTTTTTTTTAATAAATTTATTTATTTACTTATTTGTTTATTTTTGGGTCGCATTGGGTCTCCGTTGCTGCGTGCAGGCTTTCTCTAGTTCTGTCGAGCGGGGGCTACTCTCCATTGCAGTGCGTGGACTTCTCATTGCGGTAGCTTCTCACTGTGGTGGCTTCTCTTGTTGCGGAGCACGGGCTCTAGGCACACGGGCTTCAGTAGTTGTGGCACACGGGCTCTAGAGCACAGGCTCAGTAGTTGTGGCGCACGGATTTCATTGCTCTGCGGCATGTGGGATCTTCCTGGACCAGGGCTTGACCCGTGTCCCCTGCATTGGCAGGCGGATTCTCAACCACTGCGCCACCAGAGAAGCCCCCTCTATCAGATCCTTAAGTACATATAGAGCAGAAAGAATGACCACGCGCTCAAGGAAAGATCCCCGTGAAGGACAGTGACCAAGAGAAGCACAAGTGGAGCGGCGGAGCGGGGGCAGAGCAGCCAGGCTTCCACCTGCGACAAGGGAGAGCTTGGCGCCCTTGGGACAGAGACGCAAAACCTGGGCAGAGCTACGGATGAGGAAACAGTGCTTAAAATGATACCAGATCAGAAGATAACACTGAGAAATCCTCCGAGAGAACATAACAAAATAGGAAACAAGAAAGATAACATCAGAATCCCGAGATTATTCCAGTAGCCTCGAAAACGGGAAGAGTGGTGAGGGGATTACCAAGGGAAGCAACAAGACTGAAGGATGAGTCTCCAGCCCGCGAGCCCACCATGTGCCCAGGAAGGGCCCGTGGGGTGTGAACAGGGCTCCCAGTGACACACGTCTCGTGGGTTTCAGCTGTTGGGCGCAGAGAGTGCCCAGGTGTCTAGCGAGGGACAGAGCAGGGCACAGAGCGACGCTGGCTTCTCGGCAGCGATCACCCGGTTGGACTAGCTCAGAGCAAAGCTTCGGGCTTTTGGGGAAGACGATTTCATCTAAAGTGTGCCCTGTCGTCTACCAGTCAGTGTGAGGGGAGGCCAGTCGTTTTCAGACATAAGCCGTGGGAATTGCATCTTCTCTGGACCCTTTCTCAGGAAGCACCCTGGGGGGCTCTGCAGCCTGCCTGAGACAAGGTCTAAGCAGGA